CTCCTCCAGTTCCCTCCTCCTAAACTTGCCCATTTCCTTCCTAGGCTGGCTGCTGCCTCCTCCGTTAGACTCTCCCAGGAGTCTGTATGAGAGAGAAGAAACACCACGTGAGTTTCCCAAGGACTAAAGCCTTTTGTGCACTTCATGAACTTATTTCTTCAGGGTAACTTTCTGCAGACAACAGAAAATATACCTTAGATCTCTGCTAGTACCCATAACAGAAAAACATTCACTTACAAACCATAATATTTAAGAAGGTGAATGACTTCTTGGAAAATAACAATAACAGGTGACATCTACCCACAGGCACCTCTGTCGCCCTGTGCAAGCTCCCGTGGCTCCCACTCTCCAGGGCGTGGCCCTCTTGTCACCTCAGCTTGAATGGCAACGAAAGGGTACATGATCTGGGCTTCACTGATGTTACTGCATGTTCTGTATTTTTTTTTTATTGAAGTGTAGTCAGTTTACAATGTCGTGTCAATTTCTGGTGTACAGCACAATGCTTCAGTCATAAATATACATACATTAATTTTCATATTCTTTTCACGTAAGCTACTGCAAGATATCGAATATAGTTCCCTGTACTATACTGTATAAACTTGTTTATCTAAAATTAATTTTTTTGTGGGAGGAGCTAATTAGGTCTATTTATTTTATTTACTCTTAGAGGAGGTACCGGGGATTGAACCCAGGACCTCATGCATGCTAAGCATGTGCTCTACCACTGAGCTAGACCCTCCCTCCTTGGCGTTAACTGCATGTTAATAACTACATCACATCCTGTCATGTAGCTATTACTATCCCTGTCTTAAGGACAGGAAAATATTTGGGGTCAGATTGAGCTGCCCAAAGATACACATGTACTAACTCAGGTCTTTCTGACTCCAGAGCCCAATTAACCACACAGACCCATCCTGGCTGAGAGCTGAGCAAGGCCACTTCCTGTCACGTGTGGTTCCCAGCTTAAGAAAAGGGTCGCCCGAAATCCATAAATAACTCCCTGCTTTTCAATATAATGCATTCCTTTAACGTCATATTACCTAATTATAAAAATTAACCCATGGAAGTAGCATCTACCTTTTACATTATCAGGTCTCAAATATTTTCCAGTCATTATAAGATTCAAGTCTATACTTGTTAAACACCTATTTAGCTCACACATACTTTTATAAAGTTTCAGAAAGAAAAAAAAAAGACCTTTTTGGAATCAGAAACAAGACTTGTCAAAGCAGACACAAGCAACCTGAGGCAGGGGAGGCAGACCTGAAGACAGGGGCTGAGGGACCAGAGGAACCAGACCCCCAGTCAGAGCTTCACAAAGAGTGAAAGGCTAAGACCAGAGTCACGGATACAGAAGGCTTCTTTCAAATTCTTCTAAACTGAGTATTTTGCCTATGTATTATTAGTTTCATTGTTGTAGAAACACAGAACTTACTGCACTTTGTGCTGTGTACCCTCTCCCTGGGGCTGAAGAACTCGATCATCAAATACCCAAAAAGACAGACCCAGTTCACATGAAACACACCGTGTAGGTATTTCCATTTGCAACTTTCTGTTTCTTTATGCTGTTTCCTAGTGGACTAAGCCAATTGGTACAGATAATTCAGATATCAATAATGGACTTTGATCATGATTCTCTCATAGGAGAAAGAAAAGCCCAGAACCATGGTCTCCCATTCTGGTAGCAGTTTTTATAAAACAGCACTCTAGAGCAAATTTGAACAGTTTTAGTGGTTTTAGTAAGCAGGTCCTCATTCGTGTGGCTTATGTATAATTGTGTCGGAGTGGACTTGGTTATACCTAGTGAGACTGAAACCACCACCAGACCAAGACTGGCCTTTGGTGAAGGAACCTAGGACTTTATTGCAGCTCTCAAATTTAACCAAAACCCCTCCCGCTGCATTTCATCAGCAGGCCACTCCAGGTAGGTCTTGGTGTTCATTATCTTCCGCAGTTTACAGAAGCGCTGGGGAATGGCCTTCCTCTCAATGGGCTCCAGCAGGATGAGGATGGCGGTGTCATCACTCTCGTCAAAGAGACGGAAATGGGAGAAGTCCAGCTCGTACTTGCACCACTCGCTCTTCACAAAGTTCTCCGAGAGCACAAAGATGGTTTTGCGGCTCTTTTCAATGCAGTCGATGATATTGTCAATAATCCATTTGCCAGGAATGAAGTCCCGCTTGTGAAGACACAACTTGAAGGGCGGGTTGAAGTGCTCCAGCTCCTGGACCATGAGGTTCTCCACCCAGTAGGAATCCTGCTCACTGTAGGACACGAAGGCATCATAACAGAGGTCCCCGCGGGGAGCCTTCTTGGGCTTCCGTTTGGCCTGGAGCCAGGCCCACATCATCTTCATGTACCACACCCCGTGGAAATGGTGGCACAGAACCCCGGTGACCAGGAGCAACAGGAAAAGGGCACAGCACGCGGCGGACACCACGGCTGCCCTGTGGCATTCAGCCAGCGAGAGCCGGACGTCCTGAACCCGCCGGCCCCGCACATGGGATGGAGAGTCACACAGGTAGTTTTCTGGCCAGTCGATCAGGACCTGGGCCAGTGCTCGCTGCCCCTGCGTGAAAGACAGGAAGTCACAGGAGCAAATGAAGCTATTGCCGCCAGCTTCCAAAGTCTTCAGCTTTTGAAAAGAGGCAAGTTGCTCCTTAGAGAAAGTACTGATTGTATTTCTACTGATTCTCATAACTAATAACGTGGGTAAGGAGGAGGCATCTGGGAGGGTCTTCAACTTATTCCTGGAAATATAAAGTTCTTTGAGTTGCGGCAAAATCAAAGAAAATGAATTGAGATTGTTATTGCTAATATCTAAAATTTCCAGGGTCAGGGGGATGCAATAAGTTAAACTGTGTATTCTTGTGCTGGACAAGTTCAAGTATTTCATCTTTTCTGGCCACTGACAATTTTCAGGCATTGAATCAAAATTATTCTTACTGATATCCAGGTGAGTCAGGTTTTTCAGAGTAAGCAAAACTTCGCCAGTTTTTTCCAATGATTTCAAATGATTTTGCCTTAAAATTAAGGTTTGCAGGAAGGGCCAGGCATGCTCACAGGCTGAGTTTTCCAAGTACTCTTCAGACATTAAATTTTCACTGAGATCCAAATATTCTAACGATTTTAAGTGTTGTGAGAGTAAACAGGGAACCAGAAAAACCTTACTGTTTTCTATTATGATTCTTTTCACTTTTCCCGTGAGTGAATATATACTGCTCAGATCGTAAAATAAGAAAAAATTTGGAATAGTCAACTTCCGTACTGTTAACGTCTCCACGTTACCTAGATATTTAACTGTGCCTAAAACAGGCGTTCTAAATTTACCAAGTCCGTTCAGGGTGCAGCCATCAAACTCTACTTCTAACATCCCAGAAATATAATTCAGCAGTTTCACCAGCTCACTAAAACTTTCATCAGTGATTTTTACATTTCTAAAGGTCAACTTGTTAATCCATGTATTGGTTTCATCGACAACTATTTCTGAAACAGAGAAAGTGTTCAGATCAGTATCTCGCAGTTCTAAATGTCTGACAGAGCTTAAAAGATCTCCAAGGATCTCCAGCAATGAAACCGGCTGCCTCATGTGAAGGATCAGATGAGTGATGTTCTGAATTGACTTCAAACTCTTTGGCTCATACCTCTGCAGATTTGAAGCATCGATCTCAAGTTCCTCAAGAAAAGTGAGCCCAGAGAAATCCTTTTCCTGAATCTCGGAGAAGGGGTTACTATTCCCTACTTTCAGGATTCGCAGACTGGGGAGATGAGAAAAAAGAGACGTTTCGCCAAGTGTTTTGTAAGGATTTCCCAGCACGTTTAAGAATTTCAAGGCAGAAAGGGTCCTGAACCAGGAAGCTGATAAGTTAGACAAGCGATTATAGGATAAGTCCAAATGTTCGAGGCTCCTCAGGGGAAAAAAGGAATCTTCCTCAATTGTGTGGACTCCATTGGACCCCAGCCTCAAGGCCTTGAGGCCCACACACCTCTGCAGGTCATTGTTGCCGACATAGGTGATCCTGTTATTGGACAGGTCAAGGCTTTTCACAGCTGCCGTGAGCCCTGGGGGGATGGCGTTTAAAGATCTGGCGCGGCCATCACAGACGCCAGTGGGGTCACAAGACAGAGAATGGGCCTGATCAAGGGCCCCTTCCTTGGAGAGGCTGATTGCTGCCGCCAAGACCCACACTGTCCACAAAGCATGTGGCATTGTCCAGCGACGCAACCTACAAATAAGAGAGGTTCAAATGAGTGATTGTGTTTGACAGCATATCTTAATGCTTGTCTTGAAAAACACTTTGTAAAATGCAATACACACCACACACACACACACACACACACACACAGAGCTAACTACCAAGAAGGAACAGGCAAATGGAATGTATGAATGGGGATAAAAAAATGAATTCCCTGGCACATCCAGCAACACTAACACAGACAGACTGCCACTGAGCCATGACTTAAAAGCACAGTTCCATCTGGGAGTGTGGATCGGGACCAAACGTGGGTTGAAAGAACGAGTAAATGAATGAAAGGAGGAATAAACGAGCAAGCAGTTTAAGAAATGGGCCGGGCTTAAGCATACGGATGTACAACCACCTATTTCTACACTTTCCTACACTTCAAACCTTATGTAGGATACCTCCTGATACCCCTGAGAATTAGAGGCCTAACAGAGCCAGACCACGGCTCTCACTGGACAACTTTCACTGAA